CACATAGTGAAACTTTGCGTTATCACTTAAGTGGGCAAAATGACTCCAGTAACGAATGAACAACGGTGAATGTATGCGATTTAGCAAACCTCGCATTTCCTTACCATTTGTACGCATAGGTGCTATAGATCAGATTTTATGACCTATTGTTGAACCTAAGAAATTTTATGCTATCTGAATGGATAGAGGTGACTCAGCCTACCATTCACCGCAGAGGTTCAAATACCATGGAGCAGTGGCCTGCTTAAATGGTTCCCTAGGCCACTAAAAGCAAGAAGACAGTGTTTAGGCCGCTTCAATCCGGTATCAAAAACTGTAAAAGCTTATAAGTGACTGTTTCTGAAATTTTTATGGAACATTTGGCAACAGCTGAATGCGACTTGGTCAGCAGCATGTGAACGTGTATAAAATAAAAGTCTAGTGCTTTCGTTCTGCCAGTTGCTTCCTTCAGGCAAACAGTGAAGCAGTTGGAGAAGGTTGAACAGATTGAGAAGATCACGAATCTCAGGGTCGAAAGTAAAAGGAAACAATCTACGTGCGGATTGGAATCGCCAATGGCGTTTTACCTGAACTAGCCCGAACCATTGTGACTAAAGCAGAGCTGAGTGTGAAGATCAAGCTCTCTGTATTCAAGTCGATTTTCATCGCCATTTTCATCCATGGTCATAACGCAAAAAGTTCAGTTTCGGGTCACTGGCCTTACGTGTTTCGACATGACCTGGAGTACAGGAATACCAGACAGTTTTGGTGTACAGCCACTGCGACGATCTGGGCGCGTCTTGCTAATGTTTCTAGAAAAGAAAACGAAACAGCTGCCACTTGCCCAACCCATCCGAGAGACGGCGAAGAATAACTGGGAGCAATTGTATGGAATGACTGTGATCTATACTCGGCTTATCTTCTGCCGATGCTCAAACTAGCACAGAATCGGAAGCGTTGGACACATTGTCTGCCTTTGCTGCTCAAAAGAATAAGCGGTCATCGAAACTGACTGACACTCAGAACAGT